AGTCTGTGATAGCATTAAGGCGACCGTCTGTTAAGCCAAATTATCTTTAAACGTTTAAAATGAGTCTTCTCCCCAACATTGAATCCATCAACTCCATTCAGTCCTGTTAGCTCTGACTGAGGCCTGTTCTATGGGCTGCTATTCACGTCCGACCGTCTATGTAAACAGAAAAGTGATGGTGTGTGTGTGTGTGTGTGTGTGTGTGTGTGTGTGTGTGTGTGTGTGTGTGTGTTTTAAACTGAGGTTTAGCATCCACAATACTCCCTTTCTGTTGTCTAGTTCTCATTCTTTCTTTTACGGGCCATGTGAAGCATTCTTCGTATCGTGAACACACACTCACACTCACACACACACACACAGTCAGACCTACGGAGGATCAGTCATGCTAGAGGTCGTCTATGGGCCAACTTGACATTGTTGTCTATAAGCTGCTTTGGAGCAAGAGGAGAAGTTTAAAGGACAATTCCTAATAGTTTGTACAAGAAAAGGCTTTCTCACTTCACATATAGCTCGGTGTCGGTGAAGCAGGATTTGTACGGAAGGGGGAGGGCGTCAATTCCGTCTCGGTTCAACCCTTTCCAGATGTGAATAGAAACTGCAATTGATTTGCTAATGATAGAGTATTCACTCTTAATAAGATGGATATAACAACCTTGTCCTTCCCAGTATTGGAATGTTTGGAAGAAAATTGGCTTCCTAAATTGATTAAACTGAAGGTGAACTGGAGCCAGCCGTGCAGGATGTTGTTTTATGCTGCGGAAAGATGATTTGAGATAAATGTGATACAGCTGTTTATGTCAGTGTTATTGCATGAAATTGTTGAGGCTAACCAAATTATAATTATTGAATGAGTGGAAATATATGCTCAGTCATGATTTATTAAATTAATTTGAATGTAATCAATGCTTACTGGAAGCACTCTCCTCGGCTCGGAAGAGGATGCCTGGCTCAGGCTGCCAATATCAGTGTCATCTTTTTTATGTGCAGACTTTTACATAATTTAGTTTTACAATTTAAATCACATTTGTATGTGTGTGTATTGATTTAGCTTTAACTATTTTTTTAATTGTAAAATAGTGTTTAATTAAATTTTGTAAGGCACTTTTTATTTATTCTGTTCTTATTCTATTCATGAATACGAGATACATTTTTGCTTGAGATATCAGATTAAAGTGGTCAGATGATATTAATCAGTGACTGTTTTCTTTAACACAGTAAACAAAACAGTTAATGATTATTGTTTACTTCTCACATTTGATTAATTTTTGTCCTCCTTCCGTAGATCCAACAGCTGCTGTAACATGCAGTTCTGGCTGGCATCGTATTAGCTTTTGATTTATCTTTTCTAGTTTATCTATCCAAACTAAACCACATCTGTTATATCATGACTGAGAATCACTTCCTCTGCTATTTTTCATCAAACTAACATTCACACTCTCTTATGGCTTGTTAAAATTATTTCTTAGTTCATAATGATATGACAATAATAATGACAGTCATTAGAACATGCTGTGTATGTGACACAAATGGCATATAAATCCAGATGTGACTGGCTGTAATGAGCAGCTGTTGACGATAATCCAGCTGATAAATGACTTTTAGAAGCTTTAAACCCTTCAGCTCCAGTATCTCTCCATGTGGAGTTTAATTTGAACATGACATCATGAGATGTAATGAAATATCAGGGAGCAGTGTGGTTGCTTAGTGCACCAGCCTCATACTCACAGTGTCATGTTGATTGAAATCCATGGCATGGCCTCCCGCTCTCTGTTTAATATAACAGCCATATATATGTATATAATATTAAAAACAGAGTAGCACTGAAGCTGCTCTGAATAATAAAGCTGCAGATATCTGTGAACACAATCCGTGGCCTTCCTCGTCCGTAGGCTTGCTGTGCTAGTCGCCATGTCGTTGCTTTGCAGCAAAGGTGGGATGGATACGGTGCAAGAAATCTCTGCATGATTTTACAAATAGATCTCAGTGCTAACACATCACACAGCTGCACTGTGTAACTGTGAATAGCTGTCATTGGGTTTCAGCTGTTTCTGACTCTCAGACCCTCAATTTCCTCTACCAGAAATCGGTATGAGTGTTGCCTCTCTGTCTACGCAGGGTAGATGCGGGATGGAGGACTTTTTACCATGGCAACCACTAATGCAGTATAGATGCAGGGACTGAACCTCTGCTACCGTTGTAATAACACAGTCTTCATGGAAGGCAGGTGAAAAGTCATCGGGGTTGTTGTTTTAAATGAGCAAGGAGTGCTTTTGATGTCTAGTGTGGTCAACACTAAATCCCACTTGGCTCTGCTGTGGAAATGAGGTTCCTGTATTAGTTCAGCACCACAGCATCCTTTCTATTCCGCTTCCCTCTAGCAGTGTGTAGATGACAATAGTCTCTCTCCTCAACATGGCTTCCTATATTGCATTATAGCACCACTTCATTTTTTTGTGTCAGCTCTACCAATATTGTGAAGTGTCTCCTTCACATTGTTTTCTATATCGGCTTATACTGCCCAATCCTCATAATCCCACTGTAGCCTGAGTCAAATGTCTGGTCCCTGCAGTGTCCTCTCACCTTCTTCAAGGACGTGAATTCTGTATCTTCCTCTTCCTTTTCTTCACACACTGGATTACAACTTTGAAAAGTGACAGGTTAGCATGACGTTTTGATTGAAGGAACTCTCTAGTTAATGATCTTTTTGTGTTTTTGCCGTTAAAAAAAGTCTTACAGTTTCACCACTGTATATTCTGTGGTGAATAAGGTGATGTTTAGATGATGCAATGTTTGCATGGCGTGTGTAAAAAAAAATCTTGCACACTGAAACATGCAGTGTAGCAAACTAAATAGCAGATATACAGAGGTAGTGCTGCTTGATAGTGGATTTAAAGCAATAAAGAATATTTTATATTGTGCATAGAATATCTTATTGTTCTTGTTTTCCCTGTCTAAAGCAGTGAAATCTACTATTATATTACCTTGAGAAAAAAATACAGTATACATTTGACACTGGTCACAGACTGAGACATCTACAGCTCTACAGTTTCTTCTAAATAAATTATTTGTTTGGTTTGCCCTGCTGTGTGTGAGACACTTTTCAAGAAGGCCATAACAATGACAATTTAGACAATGATCAGCACCCTCTCCATCACACAGTGGTCGGACAGCGGAGCACCTTCTCTCACAGGCTGCTCCAGCTCCGCTGTCGAAGGGACAGATACAGGAAGTCTTTCCTGCCATATGCCATCACACTGTACAATAACAGCTAAAACTCTGGTCATAACAATACAGTCTCCAAGCACCTTATATGTTTTATCTGTTCACTGCACCTTATATTTTTACTTTGCACTACAATTATACCGCTTATTTATACATTTTTTATATTGCATTTTATATTGCTTTTTTGCTATGTCTAGGATGTTCTCTTTACTTCATTGTGTTGTTACTGTGTGTAATGCTGCTGCTACACTGCAATTTCCCAGCTTTGGATCAATAAAGTATATCTATCTATCTATCTATCTATCTATCTATCTATCTATCTATCTATCTATAAGTCACAATCCTCTACACGAGAGTGTCAGTCCAAAGCAAACATTCCTTCTATGTGGCCCTGTCTTTTGCGCTTCCCTGACCTGCGCCACTGTTGCCGTGTGCGTGTGTCCCTGTGTGTGGGGGGTGTTTGTTTTGTCTGCCCCTATCTATAGCTGCGTCCTGCCCCTTTCTTTCACAGTTAGAGAAAGGAACCACACCCCTCAGGCCTTGGCCTAGTGTATGTGTGTGTGTGTGTGGCGTTTCGCTCTCTTGGGATTTTAGGATTCCTACACAGTCCCTTGACAATAGCTACACAACACCTAATACATGTACGTCTGTATGAAATCAACAAAGAAAGTTCTATAAACGCTATAATATGCACATAAAGGTACACAGCTCTACACATATATATATGTATGTGTGTATGTATATTTATGTACAAAAATACCCACATTTGGACACACACATTGCTATATCCTTGACTGCTCCTTCGGCATACATACATCTACTTATATAGGAAGTATTAAAGGAAATGCATTCACCACTCAGGCCCGTGAGTGCACACCTACAGTAAAGAATATGGAACACAGACAACTGATTGTACACACACACATACATATGTAAACAGTCGGAGCTTGAATGTGACCTGTGCTTCCCATGTGAATATTAACCCTCAGGGAGACTGGAACCTTCCTCAATGTGTACGTGTTTGTGTGTGTTATTTCTGTTATCCTGGCTCTGTGTTATCATGGGCTCGTCCTCTGTTTAGTGAGGAGAGCAGAGGGCACGTACACATACATGGAGTTTCCTCACAATTGTGCATTAAGCCGGATGAGTGCACAAGGCAGAATAATTGTGGGTTCTGTCAAGGTGTGTGTGTGTGGCGCAAGCAAGTGACAATGTATGCAATCTGCTATGTGTGCTGGTCTGTATTATGATTTTTAATCTGCTGTAGCACATTTCTGTTCTCAACCTGTAATACACACATGGAAAACGCTGTGTTGGACTGTTTATTCTGTCAAATTTGTAGGTGGAATTTTATTCAGTATTAAAATGTGTTTTAGTATGAGAATGATGTCAGACCAGCTCCATGGTGAAATTATAAAAGATGAAAGCTTCATCTTTACCCAGTGAATAGATTTATACTATTAGCTGATTACTTAAAGTGAATTGACCTTGGCCTGCAAGGTGCATAGTGTTAGATTGCAGCCAAATATTACCAGAAAAGATGCACAATAATTAAATCAGTATGGAAAACACATCTAGAAATACATTTTAACATGTCCTGCATTGCAAACAACACACATTTCTCTGACTACTGAACACATATTTATTGTACTCTATCAATAATATCCTATAATTAAAGCTTACATTAAAAACACATTTGTCATTACAATTACATTTTGCTTTCTCTAAATATGCTGTCTTGATGTCCATACCGATCTGCATTTATCAATAAATTGCAGGTGTAAATACTCGCCCAGAGAACTCCTCGTGCTGCCATGATGGAAAAGGAAACGGCCTCTCCAGCTGGAAGAACAAGTGCTGTGTGGGCTCCCTGAAGTGGTGCAACACTGGGTCATTGGAGAGCCACAGCGTGTTTGGGAACAGAACAGTCTGTGTTATTTCAGCACAGCCTGTTGGATGAAGGGCCATTTCACAGGCATTATGGATTAATCTTTGGCAGGATCTCTCCAGGATCAAACAAAATTGGATGTTTAACCTCACGTGTCCTAGAGCTGAGAGTTCTCTTGTGATAAACCAGGATAGAGAGGATTGAATCTGACCCACATTGGGTTAAACATCACATGCTTGTAAATATATTTAAACTGAACCCTGAATGAAAAGATGAAAATATAGTGAGTATACACATCCTTGCTCAGGTGAGTATAATCTAACCCCTGAAAAAATGATTAAATTCATAACATTATATTCCACTAAGTCGGGAAAACATTGAGTCTTTATTATTTTAACTACTCTTACACAAACAGAAAAAAGAAAGAAAACGATTAAAGACCTTTGAGAAATCCCCTGATAGTGTTCCTGTTCAGTTACAAAAGTGTCTTTTTCAAATGTACAGTTGTATTTTTATATTTGCTACACAGAAACACAGATTCACAGCTGAAACCTCCCATCGCTTCCCTCACTTGTTATAAACTGTTTGTTATATTGGGGAGTGTAGAAATATTCCCAAGTTCAGATTGACAGGAGCAGTGATTGACAGGTCTAAATTTAACAGGCATGGTACAATTTAACATTTCACCTGCAGAAAGAACTGTAAAGCAGGATAGGCCTAGAGATGTGGATATAACAGAATCCCTGTAAACACCAATAATAAAAATACCAGTATGGATGAAATTAAATGGCTGTTTTCTTGTATTATCAGACACAAACAAAACCTGATGCTGCTCATCAATGAAAAACATTGAGCTACACTGAATGCAGACAGTTTGCTTGATGCAGAAGGAGTTTCACAGTCATCACAGATTAGACTTCAGTAGGATTTTCACAGAGAGTAAATCAGATTTTTAACCCAGTGCTCTTAATCCAGACCCAGTGGTCACAGAAGGATATGTGGTGACAATCTGGTTCTGATTAAAACTTTATTGTAACTAAAACCTAAGTCTGTAACTGCAGTGTAGCACCGTCTCTTGAAACACCTCATTTGCTGTTTGTTTAAACATTTTTTGTTCACATTATTCATTGGCCTTTTGGCATAAGTACAGGCATTGTGTGACATAAATAACATACAGTTCTGATCAATAATAAATCTCTCACAGAGTAATTTACATTTTGAAAGGTCTATAAACAGTAAAAGACGTGCATTCTGATTTATGATGGGTTAACACATTTCCATCAGCTAAAACTCAACATGTTCAATATAAATACAATGGGGGGGGGGATTAAATCCTCTACTCAAATATATGCTCTTCTGATTTTTGAGTTACACTTAAATAATGTAAATTCAAGGAGAGAAACAATGAGCTTTACATTGATTATATGACTACATTTTCAGAATGTTTTTGGAAGTATTATATCACTGTAAATGCTCTGTAGTTTGGGTAAACTCTATTTCACAGATAGAAAGGAGGGTATTCCTTCTTTAATGTAGAATGTACATGTATTTTACAAGGAGGTGAGCATGGTGAACTACTTTAAGGATTACCATCTAACACAAACACCATCCTCCCTGCTCAGAGATACAGATTGCATGATAATATGTTTTAATGTATTTTATCCTTATCCTCCCCCTTATTTATCCTCATTTTTTACATCAGTAGCAACAACCACAGTCTTCAGTGTTTGATATTAAGAATGTATTCCTGATTATGGAGGCTATTTAACTCAGATTCCTTCAGCCATATTTTAAATACGCCAGCTTGTCTCCTAACCATTACGCTGCCTTTGCACTGATATGTGTTTTGGAATATAATCAAAATATCTGCAACCTAGAATGTTATGTCATCCTACTGAGTCCTTGTTTCCTTGGATCCTTGAAGTCACTGTGCCATGATGTCGTACCTATTTGGTGATATCAGCATGTTCCTGTGAAATCACGTGACTACATGAACCACGCCATTTGAGTTCACAAATCATGGTTATATATTAAACTGACTGACAGCAGTAATTCTCACTGTGGTTTGAAAGGCATTGAAAATAAAATCAATCATGCTCCGTTACTGTAATTTTCCATGTTGCAATCTGATGACACAGGGTGGACTGACACATTGTGTATACTGGCTGTGTTGATATAATTCCTGTATATCCTACCCAGGGACTGCTGCATTGACTGTTTTGAATTAGAGTTTGGCTTTCGGTAACCTATTCCACCCACATACTGTAAACAACGGGGAATGAAATAGCCTGTAGGCAGATGACAAGAGAGGATTTTACCTTTGTTTGCCTGTGACATTGTTAGCTTTAGAATGAAGGGACAGTGTGAAGGTGGCACATTACCTGATCTCCACCTTTTATAACACAAAGATTAAGGGACCAAACACTGACTAGAGGACTTGTTATGCATATTTAAATTTCCTATCCACTAACTTACCTATTATTGATTCAAATAGAAAGTCATCTGAAAATTACTAGCCAAAACGGTGTGATCTCAGAATAAAGGGAAGATCACACAATTCACTTAAAGGACATCGGCTATGCCCATAGATCACTAATAATTTTAATGACTTAATCTGCTTTCTAATGGAATCAGGAAATATGATTAATCTAGTTCTACAATATTTGGAAGAAATAATCCTTTTAGCAATGTAAGTATTGTTTCAACAATTAAGTCTATAATACAATTGCCTGAACTCAGATTTTCTCCCACCTTAAGAACAGTAGCAATTAATATAATACAGTACTATCCCTGCCTCACAAATGACTTTCTTTATCACTTTCAGCACAAGTAAACAAGGTGCTCCAACCTGCTGAGTGACTTTTTCTTTATTGCCTGTAGGACTTGTCACACAGTGTTGTTTAGGAAGCTTATAGCCAGTGAAATGTTTGCTGAACTTACACATGTAGGCTACAATAAAGGTTTGAAGGGCCATCTGTGTAACTAATAACTGATTGCCAGTATAATAAAACAATTATATCCCATTGTTGAGTTTTTGACGTTTGCCATGTTTATTATTGTTTTAATCTTAATCATTAATTGACTCTTGGCATCATCCAGGTTTTGAGTTGCAAATAAATATATGGTAGCTCAAATGAAAATCTGATTTAGTCTCTTGTTAATTTCCATTACTGTCTGTGTTTATTACTGATAATGTGGACTACTTTAATGTTTTATCTGAGAGGTTATTTGTTTGTTTGGTGATAGGAGTGATGCTATTTGCATGTAAAATCTTCCTGTTCAACCCTGCATAGGTGAAGATAATTATCAGTTTTTTTTCACTATCCAAGAGGTTTAACTTGGGGAAAGGAATCGGATTTCCCTTTTCTAGTCCGCCGGAACTTCATTCAATTGTGTATTCATACTCATGCTGTATACATTGATTTTGGCTGGCTTTTCTTTACTAAATCAACTAAAGCTCACAGCCGATGAATGTACTTATTATGGTAGATAAATCTATGTGGAGACGCGTAAGAGTGAGATGAATTAAAGATTAATCTGATTTTAGTGTCTATTTTGTTTCGAGCGCACGGCAGGATATATGACCACTGGAGGTGTTCTCCGGTCTATATAAAAGCGCCGCCATCTTACATTTTTCAGTCTCTACTGTTCCGGCCGAGTTGCTATTGACTGACTGCGGAGGGAGTGGACGAGGGCTCCCCGCTGACGCTCGTCCTCACATTTTTCCTCGACTTTTTCCATTGCTAAGTGGTCTTTTACTCTACAGGATCCGAGTGGACGGACTTTCTGTGTTGACAAGGGTAGGCTTCAACATTCAAACTATCGGCTCCAATCAGTTTCTCCCTCTTTTCTTGTCGGGCTCTCCCTGAATGCCAGCAGGAATGGAGACGGTTGTTGTGTGCGGGCCGGCCGGGGATGCTGCTGCTGCCGCAGCTCCTGAGCCAGCTGCTTTCACGGCAGATATCTGGGATATGCCAGCCACCGCCTAATGGGAACATAACTGTTTACAGACGATTCTCATTGAGTTTATCATAGCACGGGGTTGGCGTTGTGAGATATGGACCGTAGTTAGATGTATCCGATGGATGTCATTGCCTTTTATGTTATTGGGGAATCTTTAACGGGCTTCGGGAGTAAACGCCAACGTCCTCGGTTGTTTGAACAGTTGACGTTAGCCAACGGTTAGTTAGCCTAACTACCGATAGTTAGCCCCTCAAGCTGCTGGCCACATTCCACTATTCTGACTCATGTTTGCTCGGCTTGAGTTTCGCCTTTTGCTCGGTTGTTTTTGCAGCTGGTTTAGCTCAACAGACACACAATACGGGGAGAAGATACACGCGTGTGAAGCCCGGTATACCGGGGGGGGGGGGGCATGTGTGCAGCTCTACGTGGTGAAACTAAGTTTAATTAAAGGTAGCCAAGTCACGAGAGCTGGTGCAGCAGGCTAACGTTAAACGCCAAAGTTTAGTTGGGACACCGTAAAACTGAAAACCGCTGGAAAGTTTAATGTTAAATTTAGCTCTTTGCTAGAAGCATCGCTCTAGCTAGACTCATATTTATGGGTTATATTTAAGTTTATTTTGGGTCAAAGGGCCCGTGAGACTGTGTTTTCCTCCCGTCCTTTTAAACAAAGACCGACACATTCCTCCCAGCCGCTGTGCTTCAGGAGGAAGACGAGGAGGAGCCACAGTGTGAAATTTGAGTCAGTGGTGTTAGAGCAAGAAAGTCCGGGGGCAGCCAGCAGCTGTGGGGAGGAGGGGGCACAGCGCACTGTTGTGTGGATAGTTTTTATCAAATGTTTTGTTGCATGTGTACTTTTTTCGCATCGTCGCTTTGCACAGCCAGGTGTGTGTGTGTGTGTGTGTGTGTGTGTGTGTGTGTGTGTGTGTGTGTGTGTGTGTGTGTGTGTGTGTGGGGTCTGGCTGCTGGGGAGGGACAGGCGGGTGTCTGCGGGAGGGGGGGGGACACCTCATTGCCGATACAGAAGACGAGCGATATGATGGCGTCAGGTTAAAAACATCTGTTTGACTGTGGTTTAATGACACAGGACGACGTGGTGCTGAGATTTTCAGATAGGTTTTTACGCGTCATTGGTTGTGTTTTGGTTTCTTCGGAAAGACTGAGATAAAACACCGGCTGGAGGATGTTGTCTCATCCACCGGCGGCGGGTTTTTTTTGGTTGTTCGCGGAAGATCTGCAACTAAACTGGTTTGTGTCAAATAATCACAAGAGCAGGTTATAAACAATTACTGAACTGTTATCGGTTTTTTTTTTTAAATCACTGCAGTGTCTCTTCCCCTCGGTTTGTTTTTAAAGTGGGTTAAACTGTTTTTGTTTATTCGTCTTCCTGCGGCCCTCCTCTGAAATCCCCGATCAGATTGCACAGTGGAACAAAAAACTCAAAAACCTGTCATCTCGTCAGCTACATTTTCTTCAAACGATGCATTTTTTTTTTCACAGACAGAAGCGTGTGTGTAGGCTACATCCGAGACCGGTAGTGGTTTGAGGTGATCCACTTGCAAGACTGCTGTTCCCACCAACCTTTCCAGTAGCATTGCCATTACCTAATGCTTTGCATTTTCAGTCTAATGACCCACCTATGTGTCCGCATTTAGATGGTAATTTGTATGCAACT